ACAAAACTTCGCATACATCACTCTGGACCTAATTCAGTACTCCGTGCAAAATTTTGTTCCAAGCGGACAAATATTGGGAGTTTGGTGCATCACTCACATAAAATCGGACAAACTATATATGGGAGATATATCTAAATCTCAGCCGATTTTAACAAAACTTCGCATACATCACTCTGGACCTAATTCAGTACTCTGTGTAAAATTTTGTCCCAAGCGGACAAACTACATATGGGAGATATATCTAAATCAGAACCGATTTTCGTCGCTTTCAACAGGGTTCGTCCGTGGGATTCGATTCCTTTTGTCTGTTACAAACATATGCACAAAGACATAATACCCTGTACCACAGTGTGGTGAAGGGTATAAAGAGTGATAATTTGTAGTAAAAGTTTTCGACCATGTAAGGACCCAAAATATAAAATTAGAGTACATTAGGTTGAAAACGTTCTCAAAATACCCAAAAATGGGCTATCAAAAAAGTGGGCCGATATATCGCATTTTCTTAGTAGAAGTAGCAATCTCTATCTATCAAGCTCAATAAACAGACGGATGTGTCTAATATACATTTAGATTTTTTTTTTATCAGTAAAGTATATATTCTTTATGGAATCTCAGATGAATATTTCAAGGTGTTGTAAGTAGAGTGACAAATTTAATATACATTCCACAATGAGTTCGATAAAATATGAAGAGGGAGTATCTATACAGGACATAATTCGCGCACAAAAATTAAATGCAGGTTACAATCACTCTAAATTCCGACTGAAGACCAGATATAAGAGTAGTTATGGCATGTGAAAGTCTGATAGAAGACATAGAACTGAGGTAATGAGAACCACAAAATCTTATGGAATAACGAGCGGACTGGAAAGAAAACAAAAATAAGAGACATTTATGGAAGTTAGCAGGCCGACAATCTCATTTAAATTGGTTCCGTCAGAATTACAAAGCAGAGAAGACTTTGAAACTTCAACTCCAATTCTTTGGATCTAATACTATTCGTGATCTAAATGTCATGATCGGTATTAATAGAAAGACGGACTAAAATCATTCATTTTGTCTACTTATATTTCAATCTTCCGAAGCTAACAGCACAGTTGTTGAATTTACTTTTTTTTATACCCTTCACCACACTGTGGTACAGGGTATTATGTCTTTGTGCATATGTTTGTAACAGGCAAAAATAATCGAGATAGACCCTTGGTTCCTTTTGAGAATATGCATAGAATCACTTTCTGAGTCGATTTATGCATGTCCGTCCGTCTGTAGATGTTAAATTGTAAACAAAGTACAGGTCGCATTTATGATCCGAATTGAATGAAATTTGGCACAGCTCATTTGTTTGGCCCAAGAACGAACCCTATTGAAATTGGGAAAAATCGGTTCAGATTTAGATATAGCTGCCATATATATTTTCGTCCGATTTAATGTAAATTGTGTAACAAGTCCCTATATATCTTTCGATTTGCACGAAATTGGGCATAGCGTATTGGCATTTGGGTCTATAATAATTTGTGCTAAGTTTCATGAAAATCGGTTCAGATTTAGATATAGCTCCCATATATATTTTCGCCCGATTGTAGGTAATTGGTGCACCAAAGTCCCTGGAAATCATTTCATTTGCACGAATTTTGGCATAGCGCACTGAATTAAGTCTAGAATGATGTGGCAAAGTTTCGTGAAAATCGGTTCAGATTTAGATATAGCTCCCATATATATTTTCGTCCGATTTTAAGTAATTGGTGCACCAAAGTCCCTATATATCTTTCGATTTGCACGAATTTTGAAATAGGGTACGTTGGTCAGCAAAGTACTTCGCTTTGTTACAAGAGACATTTGGGTTTGAAAGGTTTTTGTATAGAAGCAATAGCTTCTGGGGAGAATATCCCAACAAAAAACTAAGGGAACTGATGAGGATCAGTGGCGTGATCCGAAACTATAGTCTTCCCTGCCTTTCCCCTCGGCAATCAATGCCATACATTCCCCTCTAATAAATAGTTGTTTTTTTATAAAAACAAAATACAAATGGTATCCCATATAAACCGCCAACACTACTGAAGTACAGAATTAAGTATAAAATGATGTTGCTAAGATGCGTGAAAAGATCCATAGCAAGGCCGAATGACACAACGTACTGAAGTAATATAAATTAGTCTCTGGCAATTTTCCCTGAAATCGGTTCAGATATAGATATATAACAAAAACGCGTCGTCTGTTGGGATACATATGTAGAATATACCCAAAGTGGTGAAGGGTATCATATAGTCGGCCCAGCCCGACTTTCCTTACTGGTTTTTTTTTTGCTTTTCAAAGAATTTCAAGCAACTCGAAATATTTCCACTCCGATTAAGATACCTACAAAAAATCATTTTGGAAAATTATTAAATGCTGCTGACATTTTCTGACAACAACAACTTGTTGGACAAGCATTACGGATGACCCATCACGGCCGACTAAACAGGCTCTGAATTGAGTCTATAATTCATCTTTTCTTATCCGAATTTGGAATCTCTCCGATGACTTCAGGCAAAGAATGGTTATGCAGAAGAGTCGCCATATTGCCAGGTTTGCCAAAGAAATAAGCGCCAATTTGCTGCGAAGTGCTTCCTCCATGAACTACTTTCATTGGATTTGGCTAGTCTGACGATTACTTTTTGTATGGAGCTCACACACATAGATCAATGACTCATTATCTGTGACGATTTGATAAACTTACCAAGAACTCAAAGTGACAAATTATAGCACATTTGTGGTTGGTATAAAAACTAACAAATGAAAACATGTGTGGTAAGATTTTTCAAAGGGTATTTTGCATACTATCTGAGGCTATAATAGTATCCGCGAACCTCGTTGTCTAAAGATACTAGAACGCATAAATTACGTATTGACCCCTTAAATTTATTATAAATTTATTTCAGTTATTCGCAAACCTCTGCCATAAAATGCAACGCACAACAATTTAGCCTTTAATATTATGAACAAATTTATGATTCCTTTGGAATTATTTATCTATGTATGAATAACCTGAAATTACCTCGCCACCATTGATCATCGTCGAACAATGATGCGTTTAGGCCCTAATAGAAAATATATAAAAATGTGTACCTACATACATACATTTTATGAAATTCTATAAAACAAAGGCTATTGTTTCTGTGAATAATGTAAAAATATAAATCGGTCTAACGACTAAATGGAGGAAATATTTATTATGAAAAATATTTGGACTGTAATAAATATATGTACATACGAGTATATAGATATTTTGATGTATTGTAAAATTCAATTGAAATATGCAACTCTAGTAACAGTGAAATTAATTTTTATATTTCACAGAAATATATTTGAAAACCAGTGAGCGGAGCAGTATAGTCGGACGGGGCCGACCATACGATACCCTACACAACTACCACGAACTCTAACTTTCTGAGGATGTTTATTCCGAGTCTGAGTAATATTTCGTGATATTTGCCCCCTCTTGCCCGATTAGAGGTCAACAACACCTCTTCCTTACTTTTTCGAATATTCAGTACAGTCCTTCTAATTACGTGTCCAGATTACCTTCACGGTGGGTTGTGTTGTGATTTTCGGATCATACTCGACTCGAAAACACACGAAAAATTAAGTTTTCGGTCCATTTCATCCCAAAATTTTAATCTGATCATCACCGAAAATTGTAGGCGTTGTTCTTGACCATAACTGCAACTTCATGAAAAATTTTAAAGCCATCAGCGCGATATTTCCCCCTTTAATGTGGTAATGGGTTACTAAATAATATCTGAATACGTAAGCACCTATAAATATTTGACTGTAACTCCAACATCTGAGTAGATACATCACTATATTTGGTATCAATTTAAAGGCCAACCACTCCTCTTGGATATGCTATCAACTCCTCGGATCTACATCCTCCAGGAGTAAATATATATGCCATAGAATACAAATGTTGTCATTTTTCACAAAAGTCAGGGTCCATTTGACCCGCTAAATATTGACCGATCTTTATCAAAACACGCACGATTATTCTCTGGCCCGATCCCCTTCTCCATGCAAAAATTCGCGGTGTTTGGGCCATAATTGCGGCCTCTGGAGCGACCAGAAAAACCGACAAAAATTTAGTATTTGGTCCATTTCATCCCCTAAATATTAACCGATCTTTTCCAAAAACAATATGGGTCTTCATTGGCCAGAACCCATCCTACATGCAAAATTTCGTGAAGATAGGTCCATAACTGTGCCTTGTATCGTGTTTACAAATTATAATAGACAGACGGACGGACACACATGTCTAGATCGACTCAGCTAGTCGAGATATGACAATCGGTATACTTAAAGGTGGGTCTAGGACCAATATTTCGCGGCGTTACAAACATTTGGGGCTGCACAAAGCTATAATACCCTGACAACATAGTTGTGTAGGGTATAAAAAGTTTATTATTTAAATCGGTACATTATCTCAATATAATTCCAAAGAATTTTATATGTGGGTAGATTGAAATGTAGGTCATTGAGAGATAACAATTTTTTTTTTCATTGGTATTCGTTGTTTAGACGTTTTGAAAAAATTGTGAACGAATTAACAAAAAAAAATTATAAATAAAATAAATGTTTTCGTATATTTTAGGGGATAACATTAAAACTTTATTTTTAAATTCATTTCGGTTTTAAAATATATCCGAAATCTATATTATATGTACATTGTTGTGTTTACCCTTAACCCTTTGGGCCCCGTGACGAAAAAATATCTTTAAATTATTCTATAGGATCTTCTTATGTTTATGTCGGTTAAACACAGCTCCCTATGTAGCCTCGACCGATTTCATGCAATTTGTACACAAAAGTCCAATGTTTGTTCGTTTGAAATGAAATTTTGCACCGCGTACCAAATTGAGGCAAAAATGGCATGTAAGGATGAGACTGCTGTTATTTCTATGCCACTCGTCCGAAAGCTGTTAAAATTATTGTGACAGTTCACTATTTTGTTTACAAGCGTACAAAAGAATTTTGGTGAGAATTTTCCAGAAAAAAGTTATTCGTGATAGAATTCAAGCTCGATAGTGTGATTTCTTTATATTTGGCTGGAAAACCACAAGTTGCTATCGTTAGAGCACTCCAGCATTTAAATGTGAATAAATCATTTATGTCTCGTACCATCGCTCGTTACCATGATACTGGTAGCGTAGCCCGACGTCAAGGAAATGAACGGAAGAAAACAGCAACATCAATTGTTCGAAAAGTAAAGAAGCGACTTAATCGAAATCCGCGTTGCAGTGGCCGAAATATGACTCGTGAGCCGAACATACCGCAATATTCCATTCGGCAAATATTGAAAAATGAGGCCGAGGTAAGCCATTGAAATACAAAAAAGTGCAAGAACTTACACCGCATCTGAAATAAAATAGACTCAAATGAGCTAAAGAGTTGCTTCGCTTGATCGAAAGTGGTAAACTGCCGAAACCAGTAAGGAAAGTAGTAAAGTCGGACTGGGCCGACTATACGATTCCCTTCACCACTTTGGGTATATTCTACAAATGTATCCTAAAAGACGTCTCCTTTTCGAAGTAACATTGACATAAAATTGAACGAACTTATATATGTGATCTTTATCAATACCTAAACCGACTAACATCAATTCCTACACATGTCATTTTGCAAGCAATTCACTGTTTAAAATTTAATGTCAATCAGATTGATTATTTGGTGTACAATTAACATGAATGAGTCAAATTTATATATAGCAGCTGAAGCTGAATCTGAAGCGATTTCAAGGAAACTTGCAAGCGATTAATTTATATTAACTTCTGTATCAATCGGCCTAGCTATGGACTGTACTGAAAATCGGAATCGGAAATATATATAGGATTTTGCACACATCATTCTAGACTTAATTCAGTATGTTATGCCAAAATTGGTGCACATCAAAAAAATATGCAGGAACTTTGGTGCACCATTTACCTAAAATCGGGCGAAACTATGTATGGGAGCTATATCTAAATCTGAACCGATTTTCACGAAACTTAGCACACGTTATTCTACACTTAATTCAGTAAGTTATGCCAAAATTCGTGCAAATCTCATGATTTTCAGGGACTTTGCACCATTTACCGAAATTCGGGCTAAACTATATATGGGAGCTACATCTAAATCGGAACCGATTTTCACAAAACTTAGCACACATCATTCTAGAGTTAATTCAGTACGCTGTGCCAAAACTTAGCACACATCTTTCTAGACATAATTCAGTAAGCTATGCCAAAATTCGTGCAAATCTCATGATTTTCAGGAACTTTGGTGCACCATTTACCGAAAATTGGGCGAAACTATATATTGAAGCTATATCTAAATCTGAACCGATTTTCTCCATTTTCAGAAGGGTTCGTCCTTGGGCCAAATAAGTGGCATGTGTCAAATTTCGTCTAAATCATATTATAAATGCGACCTGTACTTTGTTTACAATTTAACATCAACAGACGGACAGACGGACGGATAAATCGACTCAGAAAGTGATTCTATGCATATTCTCAAAAGGAACCATGGGCATATCTCGATTCCTTTTGCCTGTTACAAACATATGCACAAATAGATAATACCCTGTACCACAGTGTGGTGAAGGGTATAATGAACATTTATATGGGAGCTATATCTAAATCTGAACCGATTTTCACGAAACTTAGCACACATCATTCTAGACATAAGTCAGTACGCTATGCCGAAAATCGTGCAAATCGAATGATTTTCAGGGACTTTGTTGCACCATTTACCTAAAATCGGGCGAAACTATATATTGAAGCTATATCTAAATCTGAACCGACTTCCACGAAACTTAGCACACATCATTCTAGACATAATTCAGTAAGCTATGCCAAAATTCGTGCAAATCGAATGATTTTCAGGGACTTTGGTGCACCATTTACCGAAAATCGGGCGAAACTATATATGGGAGCTATATCTAAATCGGAACCGATTTTCACGAAACTGAGCACACATCATTCTAGACATAATTCAGTACGCTATGCCGAAAATCGTGCAAATCGAATGATTTTCAGGGACTTTGTTGCACCATTTACCTAAAATCGGGCGAAACTATATATTGAAGCTATATCTAAATCTGAACCGACTTCCACGAAACTTAGCACACATCATTCTAGATATAATTCAGTAAGCTATGCCAAAATTCGTGCAAATCGAATGATTTTCAGGGACTTTGGTGCACCATTTACCTAAAATCGGGCGAAAATATATATAGGAGCTATATCCTTGGGCCGAATAAGTGGCTTGTGCCACATTTTATCCAATTCGGATCATAAATGCGACCTGTACTTTGTTTACAATTTAACATCAACAGACGGACGGACATGCATAAATCGACTCAGAAAGTGATTCTATGCATATTCTCAAAAGGAACCATGGGTCTATTTCGATTCCTTTTGCCATAATAATACCCTGTACCACAGTGTGGTGAAGGGTATAATGATCGTGTTTACTTGCCAAAGAGGTCAGCTGAAAATGTGCACCTTCGGTTGGCCACCAGAACTCAAGCGCCGGTGTGAATAAATGCCGAATATTAATGAGAAAATATTCTGGAGGATGTATTAAAGCTTTGGGCACGCAAGGCTTCATTTCCAGCGCACAATGGCCACCAAAATCTCCGAATACCGATCCGTTTGACTATTGTGTCTAGAGTATTTTGGAAGGCAAAGTAGGCACTAAAAATACCAAAGTGTTGATCACCTCAAGCAAGCGCTTCGCCGGGAATGGGCCAAAATACCGCGGAGCAACATTCTGGTAGCGTGTGACGGTTTCATAGGCCGTTGGAAGACCATAATTCGTGCCAAAGGTGACCAATTCGAACAAATCGAAACTTATTCTAAAATGTGATGCTATTTCCGACATTTTTTGCTTTCATTCAAAACTTTTTCCGATTTTCTGCGCATTACGTTGGTTCATATATAGATCGCACTGTTAATTTTGTCCCTTAAGATGGTACACTGTCCAGAGTTTTTTCCAAATTTCAGTAGTTTGAGGATGTTTTTCAACTGCCTCAGCCTTATTTCTTCCAACCTTAAATGAAGTTCGAAGATGGGGTAATATTCCTAACGAACTTGGTAATATTCCTAACAAACCTTGATCATATCCGAATATGGGAGCCATTGGTCCAGTCTTTCTGATACCTCCCACCACAATTTGTCAACATTCTCAATTTAATCCAAAAGTTGCACATCGTAAATCGTTTGTGAAAATACACCAACTTTTAAATAAGTCTCAAGTCTCAATATATACACATTTGAATCTTTGCTCGTTTTGACCATTCTAGATTACACTGTGATTCAAAACAAAACAAAATTTTTTTTCAAGTGTACCAATCCCGTTTAGTTGGAGTCTCTGGACCACGAATATACCTTTGGTTTTTCTGGGTCAGTTCGAAAATTAGTTTTATAACGGTAAATGTAAAGAAATGTAACATCTTTTTTTTCTAACGGATTTATATTATTCTTTTTTCATTCAAAGAATAGAATTTTTTCTTTCAAACTAGGTATATACTTGGTAAATCGTTTGAGGATTGACTGAGTTACAGTGGTTGAAATGTGAAAAAATACGCATAAAATTACAAAATTTATTTTTCTTCGGACTGTACGAAGAAATTTTGACATCAAGCCGTATAAGTTTTATTATATTACGGGGAAGGCAATTAAATAAGCTTTCGAAAATGAGAAAAATCAAAAAAAATCGGTTAAAAAATGGACGACTTGTACACAATTTTGTATTGATTCTATGCATATTCTCTAAGGGAAATATGGGCCTATCTCATTTTCTTTTGTCTGTTACAAACATAATGTGGAAACGAGGAAACAAGATAGACCCATAGTTCCTTTAGAGAATATGTATAAAATCAATACAAAAATGTAAAAAATGGAAAAGCATACCAAAACACTTCCAAATTTTTGTCTATCAAAAAATGCAAAAACTGAAAATCGTAAGTACTGTTTCTTCTAAATGGCGCAACAAATGCTTAAAGATTGTCCGATTGCTATGAAATGTTGCGTAGAGTACCGAATTGAGATTATTAGAACATTAAATGCATTCTCATTCACTTTAATATATCGTATTGTATGGTAGTAACTTCCGAGGGGGTGTGCTAGATACTTTGCTAGCCTCGCCCCTATCTCGTCGGTAGCCTAGTGGGAGTGTCTCTGGTTCCCATCCGTGAGACCCGGGTTCGAATCTCACTGTGGGTAAAAAAAATTTTTTTGTTTTCTTTTTATTTTTTATTAATGAAATCAATTTTTTTTTGTTTACTTGGCTTCAAATTCATAATGGTTTCAAATACTGATGGTAGATGTTCAATAACATAAATTTTCGGAGTCACCTAATATACCTTTGGTTGCTATAATTTCCCCTTACAAAGGTGGTGAGAAATTATGCTTTTCTTCTTCCACTTATTTATTAGTTTATTGTTAACCAATACGTTTGTATATTTTTTTTTTTTGTAATGAGATGTTGAAGTATTAGTAATTCGAATGAGCCATGTTTGATTTTGGAAGTTTTTCTTTGTATTGATATTCAGCCATAATCATAGTGTTATAACCGAGATTACAAAAGGAGGTAGCAGAGTAGCCATCTTGGTCATTTTCGAGAATCTTTTGGTTAGTGAACACTAAATTTTTTTAATCTTGTTGGCGAAAAGAAACTTCTATTGGTTGCTCCTAATATCCCAAGTGTTTTTTTTTTTATTAAACTGGCGAAGAAAAAAAGCTGACAACATCATTAATTTTGTATAAAACCTTTTCAAACGTTGGTGCAAACGTTTTGGTTTGACCTTTCGATTGGTTTACAACATCCCCTGGTCGTTGGTGTGGAATTGCATATATTTGCTTAGCTGCTGTTTTTCTTTGATATCCTGGTGATACCATAAAATTAAGAATTTGATATAATAATTGGTAAGATTTCCTGTTTATATGAAAGTCCAATTTGCTTAGCGCTGATTTTTCTATTGTGCATTTCAATCTGTTTTTAAGAATAACCTTTTCCCCGGTGCATTTTGCATACCGACATCCCCTTCACTCTACATGTGTGTTTTTTTGCCCAGAGAGGAGACTGAGATTCTGTCGGAGATTGGATTTAGTTGTTAGAGTGCGTTGGTTACAGCGAGTGCTGCCGATTACATCTCGCATAAAGTAAAGTTCGGCATAGAAAAGTCAGTGATTTAACTCACAAAATGATGTCTGAATCAGTTTTTAAATAACCTAAAATGGTTGGTTAAAATTCTGAGAGAGAGAGATAAAAAAATATATTGAAAGTGAAACAATCAAACTTAAAACTAAAACGAAAATTAAGAGCAAAAGAGTGTGTGTGTGTACTTGGTAATGTAAAAAAAAAATCATAATTTTCTATACCTTCTTCTTGTAAAAAAAGTAAAAAAACAACAACAAAAATATAATCAGTACTAGAAGAGTCACACAAAATATTCAAATACGCATTTACTTACACCGAAATAGAGTTATGGTATTAAATATCGTATAAAGAGATTGCTGATCGCTTTGCTGTTACCCCAGTTCGAAAGGCCTTTCATCGTGGGAGTTCAATCGATCATCAAGTAAGTTCAAATTCTCTTATATCGTACCGCATTGAACAAGCACAAATCATTGGGTTTTTTGTGAGAGTAACTGTTCCGTTATCTCTCTGGGTTTTGCCTATTGCACTCATTTAATTGGGAATATACATGCTAATTTATAAAAATATAATTATAAATTATTTTAAAAACCAAATTAATTGAATTAATTCTTTTAAAGGATTCCTTTATTTGTGTTTGTTCAATGTTAATTTGTTTCCTGTGTACATACGATTGCCAATGGATATGCCAATGTTACACTGAACAATAACAGACGAAGTGCTGTTAACCTACCTTCGTTAACATTTCAATGAGAGCTACAGTTTTGAAAGCACTGTTTGCATTGCTTCTACTGTATGTTTCATTTATATTTATTTTTGTTCGAATTAATAATTATTAAATTGTATTTTTTTTCTGGCATATCTGTTGACATCGGCAATTAAATACTTATTTTTATATTTGGTGTGATTATTGAATAAAATTAAAAAAAAAAACGAAAAAAAACTATTTGATCAAATCGAATGCTGTTAACATACTCGTATGTATGTATGTTTGTACATACGGTTGTAACAAAGCAGGTCGTTGACACAACAGCTGATTTGCTGTGAAAAAAAAGCAAATGTAACGATCATACACACATACATTTTTCTTTTGCGTTACATACTGATATGAAATATTTTTGTTTGGTGATTATTTGATTGTTTTTCTCTTCGAATGTTTTTTTTGAAAATATTATAAATTTTGATATAAAAAAATAATGTTATGTTTTTGATATAATTTAATTTAATTATTCATTTTTTTATTTTTCCTTCAAATTTCAAATATGATCTTATATACCTAAAATTTTTGAAATTAAGTTTTTTTCATGATTTTTTTTGTAGTATTCATAATTATTAGGTTTGTTTTATTATTTTTTTGTTATTATTTTTCTGATGCGTTAGGATTATGGATTTATTATTATTCTTGTTGTTACAATTTAAGTCGAATTTCTTCGAGATTGTATGATTTTGTTGTGTCTAGCTATAGGCTGAAAAAATGATATTTTTGATTATGAATAAAAATTGGAATTATTTGAATATGGCTTAAACGTTTTTTGAGGTTTGATTTTGAAGGGTAGGAAAAGTGGGAGTATAAAAATTGGGTTTATCATGATGTCTTTGATTTTGTTTACTTTTTGGTGGATCATTTGATAAACAGGATGGGTGGGCTTATCATGCAACTACCAACTATGCATGACTGTTACATACTGTGATGACAATTAATCCTCTTTTCTTTCTTTTCTGTCTGGACTATAGTAGAATTTCCTCTAGTTTTTCTCTCTTTTAAGTATCTTTCTATTTTTCTTACGAATTTGCACGCATTATATTATTAAACTGGTAGTGACTACGAACAAGAAACAAATTGAATTTTGGCAAAGATCCCCCCCATACGACGAGCAATAAGGCTGGATAAATATGCGTGCCAGGCCATAGAATTCAATCCGATAAATTTGCATAGCAATTTCAACCTAGCTATCCGATACATACTACAGTTTTTGGCGCCCAACGTGGGGCCCGAGTGGAATCAAAAATATTTTATAGAAAAATACATCTTGATATTTTGATATCGTTATCTGTTTCGCTCAGGTCCTTTTCAACTTTTCTTCTTTTCTAATATTTTTATCTTTCCTTTTCTTTATATTTCTTAGTCAGAGTTATAATGATTCTTTGGAATATATAGGTTTTAC